CATCTCCCATTGTGAAGTGTTGTCCTGGAATTCACTGAGAACCTCCTGTATTTACTGAAGACTTTGGACATCTAGTAGTTTGAGCAGAGCAGGGAGAGAACAGCATGCGCACAGTTAATAAATTTTGGACATGCTGACCTCATTTCACATGCTGCCTGCATCCAGTAGCCCTGTTGTAGGAAACACAGAGACCATGTGCAAGCCTACCACAGCTTTAGGGCTGTGTGACACATATGCTGATCTTACCCATGCTGCCTGTGACACACACATTCGATGTGTGCTATTGCCTAAGGCGCCAGAGGTCATAGGTTGAGTTTCTGTTATTCTTGTGCTACTTCTACAAAAGACTGAATCAAAACATACAAAACTGTCCCACAGCTTACAGGCAGCACATTGTCCACAGGACCTGCTAATGGTGATCTTGTCTACAGAAAACTAAAAAACTGGAATCAAAAATCCATTGTTACTCACAGTGTGACTACCAGAAAACTGCAAATAGAATTGACTAGAAAAAAGAGCTGTGGTTATCTTGTGAAGTTTATAGGCAGGAACATCCCAAGAAGCAGTGTTTTCAGCAAGGGACAGCCAGTTCTGTTCCAGTTCATAACAAGAGCTTGTAGAGGTTTCTTGAGACCTGTTTTGAGTCACTTTATCCATAGAGGGAAAACTATAATTATAAAAATATAAGATCTTTAGGCCTGCTAGTCTGTCATCAGAATTAGCAATGTGGGAGTGCATATTGCCAATAAGTAATATTTCATTCCAGCACTGAATTTGGATTTAATTTTCCTGCACCTTCCAATATGCTGATCATCACAAAAATGCATCTGTTTGAAGGGCACTGCTGGGTGCCAAATGGGAAAGCAGACAGAGATGCTGGCTAATTTCATACTCCTCTCTAGAAATTTCCTAACTGCAGGTATGGCCTCAGTGGCCACAATGAAACCTTCCAGTGAGTATGCATTCTTCCCAAGCACTGACCTCCTCTAAGGCTTACACTTCTCAGAAGCAATCAAAAATCCTGACAGCCACACCAGGAAGAAAAACTCACCACTGCCAACAATGTGTCATTGCCCAGATAGGCTGTAGAGTCTCCTCCTTGGAGACTTTCAAAGCCACCCGGACCCTTTCACCTCAGCCAGGCTGTGATTCTGCGAAAAGGCTGGGTTCAGTCTTAGTCAGTACAAAGAACAAATAACTATATTAACTGATAACACTAACGACATTCTTATCTCTGGCAAGGAACATTTTGCAACAGAGTCTGTTGTGGGTTTATTCACCAGTAAGTGCCTATCAAATCATGGGACAGCCCAGGCATTTTCTACTTTCACTGCTATTAATATTTAGTACAACCCACACACTGCTGAAAATAGTACCAAAGGAGATACATAAATAATTTCCAATCAATTTTTAATTTACTATGTCAAGTTTTATCAAGCCAAGTCTCAGCCCAAGTAACCTTGCCTGAGTTAATTGAATGTAATGTCAATGAACAGAACGGCAATTTTAGAAATGCAGAATAGAGTATTTCTGCTGTGGAGCTGTATAATTTTTGACATTGTAATTAAAAAGCAATTACCTTTGCTCTGACATAATTTGTCATGCTGTATATCTACAGATCAAAATCAGTCATCTCCCAGTAAATGTTCTCTGTTTCACATACTTTCTGGTAAAATTCTGAGACTGTGAACACAAGTAACCCGAACCAAAAAGGCATCAGATATTAAGTAGTTTTGTTCATCTTCTTTGATCATGTGTTTTTGGCTTCAATGTTCAGTTATATGCTATAGTCCTCATACTTGTTCTTTCCTTCTGGTTTACTTATAGAGATCTCTACTTCCTGGGGGATTGAGCAGAATCTTGGTATAAACAAGAAAAAAGAATAGAATTATAGCCAGATGGAACATGTATGGCATTGGAGCAGGATTGGGGGATTAAAGAGAAGCCTAGAGTATCAACAGCTCTATAGCTATGTTTACTTGACTTTGCGTGCTTCAGTTTAGTATTTACATCAGGAAGCATCTCAGATGACGGTAAGAATGTCATTAACTTGTCAGGATTGTTGTTATATTCTCTTGTAAATTGAGATAGTGATATGCTGATGCTGGTGAGGTCTTTTTGCTTTTCAGAAAGGCTAATAAGTAATAAAAGCTAATTTATATACATAATTTGTATTGTAAGTACATTATTATGCAGAAATGCTCTTTTTTCAGCTGAATTTTTTGACCACAAAGTCCACCCTCTTCTGATAGGGCGTGTTAGATTAACAATTCATCTGGTGTTCAATAGTAAAAAAAAATCAATCTCTAGTCTAATAAACCTGAAACTTTCTGTAATCATCTTATTATGACTCATCAGCATTAAGCACAGTAAAAGTAAGGACTGAATTTCAGTCTAGCTATGTCAATTTAATTCAATAGTCAGCATGCCAGAGGGGATATAAGATGTCTCTCCACTCTGCAGAAAGAATAATAAAGAATGGGAGAGGGAAGTAAAAAGATACTACTTCTAGCAAATCTTTAAATTTTTTAAAGGTTTGATCTCTTTAATTCAACAACTTTTAAAAAAAAGGCAGAATTCTTTTCAAGAGCAGAAGCTAACCTTCCCAAGAACACAAAAGATCTTTAGTACAGAACAGGAAGTTGCTGGAACCTGAATATTGGCAAAGTCTACTTTCACTTTCAATGAGGGTAATTACTGAAACAATGGGAATGAACAGATACTTAATTGCCTGATGTTATCAGACAGCATGAAGCTACTGGCCTTTCTGGAAAGATGCATTATCCTAATGCACAATCTGAGGACAGAACAGAGGCATGACAGGACAAAACAAAAAACTGTAGTATTCATAAAATCAGCTGAGGTGCTATGTTCACCCTCATGACCTCAACTTTTAAAAATGTGATTTCATCTTTCCTCCTATTCAGGCAGGAAATCTCAAGTCTATGTATTAAATCATTTGCCAAGTACCTCAGAGCAATTCCCTAATAGAAGTAGCAATAAATCCCTACCTACACTCTGCATTCAATACAGCTCGAAGGAAAATGTAGTTGATTAATGCAAAAAGGATTCAGTCAGTCCCGAGACTTGATTAAATGTACTGAGCTATTTGTTATTCTGTACGTGTGAAGTGTCTGGTATTACACACAAAAGTTTTGAGACAGATAGAAAATTGTGGAAACTGTCACAGTTTTCCTGCTTCCTGTTTTTAGCATATTTTTAGAGCAAAAACAGTCTTATTACTGCTTTATTTCTGTAATCTATATTTGCCTAGACCACATCGCTGGTCACATAACTTTCTCTGTAGCATCTCATAGCACAAAAATACGGCTCTATATAAGGCCTCATGATAAATATATTTATTATATTAGCTACAATTGTCTGCGTGGTAAATTTTACATTTCCTTTGTGTTTAGTCCACAAAGAATGCCATGTTGCTGATAGAAGGAGACTTTTAGCTGAAATTCCCAGGGTTTGGAACTCAGCCATGGAAGTCCCAGGTCTGGCCGCAGTGCCAATGGTTCTGTCAGCATTTCATGAAGAGTAAGAAAGCAAAAAATGTGCTCCCTGAAGCTTCCCTCACTCCTATACAAACCATTAGTCTAACTCTCACCTATTTTCTGTCATTCATACTATTATCATCTTTTCATGTGTGTTCATGTTTTACATGCAAAGTGTTTTCTTTGGATTAGCCAGCATACTCCTTCTTCCAAACTACTAATAGGAAGGATCAGCCTGCTAGAACATTTAATTGCTGTCTTAAGATATTAAGAGAGAGTTCCTGAGATGCAGCCCATTCTCCTCGCTGTCCTGGCAGGTTTCCTACCTTTAATCTCACTGATCTCATTTTGCTACTCCTTCATAGGGGCTATTTTATGTAAGAAAATGTCTGAGGGTCACTGTCTTGAGTATCAGGGAGTCTCCCCATGTCCATACAGGAAGCGTGGCCCACAACAGCCCAGGTGAAGGTTCTGCCCCTGGTTGGCAGTCCCAGCACACTGCAGCTATGTCAAGTCCCATACAAAACCAGACCCCTGTTGCCAATGTCTAGGGGCATCTGAGTCCACTGCATTACATACTGCCAAAACGTACAGAAACAAAACCAAGAACCCTTCACAGCTTGATATCACCTCTGTCCCCACACGTAAATCGTGGAGGGAGCCAGCAGTTCTGTGGGGTGACTGTAGGGAAACTGACGAGAAACGTGGGCATCAGCCACAAGCAAATATGAGGTATAAGGACCTAAGTGGAATTCAGGCTTTTTGTATTCTCCTGTTGAGTCTCCTGATCCTACAAGAGACCAAAATGTTTTAAATCAAACACTGTGATTCATGGCAAACACGTATGGTCAAGCAACAACTGGCAAAGAAAACGGACTTTTCTGTATTTCATTAGTTTTCTAATCTCTACAGTAAGTGTAATGAAAGCAGGCTCTAGCTAGGTGAAGTACATCCAGGGCTGAGGGAGCACGAATAGTGTGGCAGAAGGGTCACAGAAGTAGCTTGCACAGCACGGTGTGGGTCTGGGAGCTGGGAGCACCTTATCACACAGTAACAAGCATTCCGAGCAGCGCTCTTGGCTCTGTTTGCTATGGGCCTGGGGCACAACCCGGCTCATTTATCTTGAACAAGTTGTGACAGAGGCTCTCTTCATCAGATTGAAAGCATATTTTCAAAACTGGGCACATTTCAAAATGTATGAAGAAACTTTTCTTCTAGGCAGTGGAACAAAATGCATCGTTAATTTCTCATTTTATTTAGGTTTCTGTGAGAGCGCGTTATTTCGCACACCTGTAAGGCTTTTTGCTGGAACAATGCTAATGCCCATCACCTGTGTCACACAGCTGTCACTCACTCAAGCACAGATGCCTGCACTGAGTATGCACTGCATTTTTCAAAAGCACAGGTTTGCGGTTTGAAGATTTATTACACAACCCCTGATAAGAACAGTAATCTTTCTTAGCTAATATGGCCGAGAACAGCAGATGTATCTGGATATCTGTGTTTGAGATAAAGATGGGAAGTTTCACTTTCTGCCACCTATGGAGACAATAACTTCTCTGTGCACGATGGAGGAGGGAGAAAGGGTGCAGCCTGGGGAGGATATGCCCTATGGCCTGTCTCTGCTTTCCTGGGTGATTATATGTGGAGTTTCATATTTTAAGTGAATTTCCAAGTTATTTTTCCAGTGTGTTTCTGGCTGCTGTTACACAACCTATAGTCACAAGACTATATTTTCAACATCTGAGAATGCATCTAGCAGATTTGTGTTATGAGCACTTTAATGCAACTTGATCAAACCAAAACATTCCCAAGCTATTTGTTGTACACCCCTCCTTGCAGCACATCATACTTTTCCACAAGCTTGACCTCTTTTGTTCTTTGGTCATGCCCAAAATGGGGCAGACTGCTTTCAGATAACCACAGGTGTGGGGGGCCACTTTCACTAGAATGTAAAACTGAATGAGCAACATCATCAATTTTATTAGAAACCTTGATTGGACAGTCAACATTTTATTATTACACCAGAAAAAGTACAAAAGTGAGCATGAAAAGAGATTCTTGACTTACAATTAGAAATAGCCTATTTTAAAACACTAATATGCATCTGAGTCAATGTAGCTAATTATTACATTATGGACTGCACATATTAAAAAACAAACAAACATGTAATTCATGTAAACATTATGGGTGAAGTCTTGGGTGTGGTCAAGCTGCACCCAGTACAAGACCCCATATTACAGAGCAAAGGTCTATCTGGAGATGCTCAAAGTTATACCAGCTTGCATGGTCACTAAAATGCATGGCACTACAACGTTCTGCCTGCTGCTTGTGAGTCACACACAGCAGATCATCACCTCACCTCTACAGCTGGGGTCAGGAGAGGCTCCCACTGCAGCAGCCTCTGGATGTTTGTCTTGATTCCAGTGGATGGTCAAGCTCTGGCCTGAGGGCCCTTTGTGAAAGCTGGAAGGCTTACACTTATTGCTATATTAAGAATAAAAAGATATCTGAGCCACAACTGTTTCCAGTAGGATTTTAACAGGAATGCTTGAGTCAGTCTTATTATTTTCTCTTCCAGCTACCCACTAAATGCATTCTTACAGATGCTGGCAATGCTCTGAGCAATTTCTGGTTTCTTCTTGGCTTAGATCTGCCATTTCCTAACCAGCTTACTCACTAGAAGGTAAGAATTGCTCTACTTTTTCCATTACTTGCTTTGCCTGCTCAGAGGTGCCACAGTCCCTGGGAGAAAGGGTCAGAGCCTTGCCTGGCTCTGCCTGACTCAAGGGGACTGCCCAGGAAACAAAACATCCAATCTTCAGATACAGCTACAGGGGAAAATCTCCAGGTCTTCCTCACTGACTCCTCTACCCTGTACAAATCATGGGCATCTATGACATGTGCCAATGGACAATATCCCTGCTCAGGGAAATTCCCTTCCAGCCCTTCTGAAGCAGCATACAGATCATAGCAAACTGTGTCTCCACTGGCAACTTTCTTTGTGCATGCCCAAGGCAGCCCCTGCCCTGATGCTCTGTGTGGCTACATATGAGGGAACAAAGCAGAACAAATCTTCTGTCCTCAGTTGTTGAGCACGCCTTTGGCCCTTCTGAAACAGCATGCTTGTTTGTCTGTGTGTGTACAGGAATCACAGCTAAAATACCACCTCCTGCGACTTGGCTGTTAGTATCACAGCAAGGATTCCTGGTTATTGGCTCTGTACAACCATGGTGCTATTTATCACTGCAAGCTACATAGTCACGTCCTTTTCAGTTTTGCACACAAATCAAGTCTTATATAGTGTGGAGTACTTTCTTTCAAGGAGCTTCCGTGCTGTTGATGCAAAGACTGCAGTCTGGGTGGCCAGGATTATGTACACACTGAAGGAGCTGGACTGGCCTGGGATAAGACACAAAAGCAAATATTTAGTAGCCACATGAAAGTACAGCAGAGCAACCACACAGGTATTAAATGCAGTGTGAAAGTCGAAGTGTATATTACACCTGTGCTTATCAAGTGGATGTCTTTTCTTAAGATAACTTTTCTTGCATAATGCTGCAGACATATCTTTGGTGTTTATAGGGGTTGGAGACAAGAATGGATGCCTATGAAGTAAAGCAGGGTGTGAACACTCCGCATGCCAGCTATGCTGTGATAGCAAAAGTGATTACAAAAAGAAGACACCTTTCACTGATCACAGAGTTGCTGCCACGCTGGAAGTTCACCATCTTGCTTATCTAATGGTAGCCCTGACTGTTATCCTACATAGCTGTTGCTAAAAACATACTGTATGATTAGATGTTTTGGCACAAGTACATCCCCTTTCTTGAACTACTCGTGGAAAACACTGATGAAAACAACAAAAGCAAGAAATAATGACCAGTGTCAATTGCTATATGTCACAGAATGCCAGATGCTGAGCCGATAAGGATCCACAAAGTTCTATCTGCCATGACTTCAGTCCAGTCCATCCTAAAGAGTGGACTTACTGCACATATAAATTAATTATTTTATTATTGCTTTGTATACAAATTAATTTTAAAGTGTTTGTATTGTTCTGTATAGTTGCTTACGCATGTCAGTTGAGTGCTGACAAAAAGCCCTACTTCTTATTCTGTCTTAAGATGTGAATTGTGAGTCACAGTAACGAGTGTGCCAACACATCCTTCATGAAGTTATGAAGATTTCTTCTTGTGCTGAGCCAAAGGGAATCTAAATTACTACATATTTCCCCTTCCTTCCTTTCTCCTTAGCTTATTTCAGCATAGGCTAGAATAGTCTGCACCTGCTTACAAGTCTTGAAGTATTGGTTAAAGACTACAGTACTCCAAAGAGAAAGTGAGTATGTGAGCACCCTAATTCGGTACATTTATGCACCACACCAATGTTGTTTTTTTTTCACAACGTGCAGAGCACTCATTATCAGGTTCAGCAATATCTAAACAGGGATATATTGCTCTGCTTTCATGAGTAAAATCCTAGTGCTTCATAGGGTATTTGCAAGGCAAATATCTCCCTCTGCAGACAACCTTTCCCTTACTTAAAACCAGTGTCATGAACTCTGTACTTTATAGAAATGTTTATTTAGGAAATGTTCCTATCAAAGTATGAGTTATCTGCTTTGAAAAACCGTTCTTGGCAGATAAGATATGATTATTGAGCTTTATGAGTAAAACTGAACTCTAGCCACTTTTTTTAAGGTCACTAGAGGACATTATTTATCTTTGTAAAGGTCCCTGAACTGACACAGAGGGACAGCGGCTCTCAAGCTTTTGTAACTCACAGAATCACAGAATCACAGAATTGCTAGGGTTGGAAGGGACCTCAAGGATCATGAAGCTCCAACCCCCCTGCCACATGCAGGGCCACCAACCATCCCACCTAATGCTAGACCAGGCTGCCCAGGGCCCCATCCAATCTGGCCTTGAACACCTCCAGGGATGGGGCATCCACAACCTCTCTGGGCAGCCTGTTCCAGTACCTCACCACTCTCTCTGTAAACTCCTCAGCAGGCAGGCAGAGATTTCAGTCAAGTCAGAACTTGGGCTGTTCTGTTTCCTGAACTCCTGTTTCCTGGACTCACCTGACAATGGGGAATTGTAATAATTACTAATATCTATCATGTGTTATGTCTCACTCCCTGATAAAGCAATTGGATGAAATGGAAACTCAAATTATAGTGAAGGAAATAAGGACTATGCTTAACACAGTGTATTATTTGCATGAAGCTGGAAGGAAAATTGCTTACTTGGCTTTTATTAGTGTACATAAAAACCTGATAATATGAAAATCTGTTGCAGGAGGCTGTCTTGCTCCTTTGCTGAAGGCAACTAAGCAAGGCCAGCAGCAGTAACATCCTGGAGTACAAGGCAAAGAGAACAAATGGGAGGCTCAGAAAAGCACACAGCTACTTAAAGAGATGTGATGGAAATAAGAGGGCAATCTGCTCATTTGTTGTAAACCAGGAAACAATGTCAAGCAGAGAGAGAGATGGGACATCAGTTTTGTTAGCAAGTAGACACCAATGAGAATTACCTGTAATTATCTTCGCAGGTGATCTTAAAGTTTCGTTCTTCTAAGATGTTTCTTAACTTCTTTATGGAATAGCCTGAGCAGGAATCACTGGAGAGAAAAGTCTTTTGTTACTTGTGATCTTTGTGTGTATGAGAAGTTCAGCTGAACTCCACACTACATCATTTCATTTTATTTCAGATCAGATCTCCTAAAATGTGCTGTAAAATCTATTCTGGTTTGCGGAGCTTTGGTTACCATTGGGCCTCTGCCAATAGAAAATATATGATGTTCAATTGTTTAACTTGTGTGAAAACCTTTGTGCAGGAAAGTCTATGGAAAATAACTCAGTTCCACCAACAGAGATCTTTATGCATAATTAGTTTGAATTAGCTCAAGGAGCCTCCAGTTGTAGTGACAGGATTGACAAATGTCCGAGACTCAGAGAATCACTGCAAAAGACTTGTCACCTTGGGGGAAAAAATCACCTCTTGGTATGGAGTATGGGACACAAATGAAGACAATACTGCGGCAAATCCAGGACTGTTCCTAACACATGGCATTAGTGGAAAACAGCCAGCTTTTCTTCATTCACAGGATTTACCAGATATTATTACTTATCCAACATGAAATACAATCAGAAGATAAAAGCAATACATGTTCTTAGAGTTACCCCTCCTTTGCTGTTGAAACAGAAAATAAAATGGAAACACTTGTGAACTTGGCACAGGAGGAAGATGTGTCAAGAGGGCTGGCAGGGCACCAGATTGTGGCAGTTGTTGAGAAAGAGGAATGTAATGGCTTTTCTGATGCTGGGAAATCATGCTAGAAAGGACTGAATGTCACATACAGGGAAATTAATGCACAGATTAACCTGAGCCCTTTTCTTCAGCAAACCACTATGCTGAGGGTCACCAGAATGTCTGGCAAGCCAACGAGATGACAGGCACACGACTGGGAGCCTGTGATGGACACATCAGCTTGTATGGCAAAGAAATACTCCTGAGTGTCAGTGCTTATGCTAGGGGAAGGGTTGCAACACTGGAGCAGACACTGTGACTGATATTGTTGCTGCTTGAGCAAGAGTCTCTCCCAGGTACATACTCTTTCCTGAGATACACCACGGCCTCCTTACTGACTCACTGTGTAAAAGCTGCTGCCTCTGGCATGCGGGATCCTTAGGAACAGGAGAAACCACTACAATGCATTATAACAATTAACAAGTGTACAGGTAGAAGAGTGGCATGGTTAGGATGGCATTTTGCAGGTTTATAGTAAGAAAGAGTATCATGGTTGAGACAATCAAAAATGAAATGCTCATCCATCTCCTAGGCTTGCACTAGAAAACTCCAAAAGGAGGAATCTCCAGAAAGAGATCGTTCTCCACAGCCAGTCAGCCCTTAATGCGGTCTAGGAGAGGTGCAGCCAGGCTCCATCCCTTCCAGTCACACAGGTGAATTGCCTTCACCTGTGCTCCCAGGGCTGACTCAGTCCTTGCCTCAGGTGATCAATCAGTGGTTCAGGCTGTGACTTAACAGTTCCCATACAAACACTAATAAAAACAACTGTAAAAATGTTATTCTTTCCAATAAAGTAAGTAGCTAGTAGAGAGAATGCAGAGCAGGTTTAAGACGGTTAGTGTTAGACAGTCATTTTGTATCAGAATGGTTTACCTTTGGGGTCCACCGATGTCATGCATAAGCCAAATACGTATTTCAGAAATTTTATCTGGATTTAAGTTAAAGATCTCAACACTTCCAAAAACACTGTAAGAATGGGACATGAAACATCCTTAGTAATGTAAGAATTTTAATAATGTAAACATTCTTAGTAGAGAATGTTCTCCAACTACTACTGCTTGTTAGTGCTGCTGTTATCCTCAGTGAATGAATCTTTCTGCTGGATTTTCATAGACAATTCACTTACCTCTGCTAAAAGATTTTCTCTCCATTCTCATTTTATTTTCATGACAGCTTCTGAAACTATGTGCAGATAGAAGCAAACTCAAGTTTTTCCACCTACAGTACTTATTCTCCTGCTAGTTTTATTGACAGTGGGTTTTGTTTGGTGCAAGGGAAATGAACATGGCTGTTCTCCTGACTAGAATAGACTTCATCTTTCTGTATGAGGCTACTGCTGGGTAAAATGAGCAAGCACAACTGAAGAGCTCCATGAGCAGTTAGAAGCATGTAATTCCTATAGCATGGCACATGCAAACCTAGATTAAATGTAATAAAGCTACTAGAGATCTACCTATATGCACTGAGAGTTAAGTGCATCAACTCTACAGCAGCCAATGGTTTAGATTTCCACACGAATTCACCAAAATCCATTCTGCACCAGAACTTGCTGACAAGAACCTGCTGACAAACACACATGCCCAAAAGAAACATGAATGCTGGGTATACCTGCTGCTTCTGAAAGCTCCTGTTTCTATTGATCCATTGAGCATCACATGAACCACACCGCATGCTGCTTCTGCAAACTGACCAAAACAAATGGACATTATAATCTGACACTGCATGCCACACCTCCAGAGAGTTTTCTGACTTCTTAGATGTCATCAGAACTGACTTATACAGGTAGAGAATCTGGACCCTGTTTCTACATATGCCCATGCAAATAAAAGCTTCTACACAATTTACAGCAAAACTGACATAAAGCTGCATCACCTTGCTGTCACTGTTTTCAGTTTATAAAATGGGATGTAACTTTCCAGAGCCCCAGCAGCTATAGCTGTCTGATGGGGCTGCCTGCTTTCTCAGTAACTTAGAGTAATTCTCAGACTGCCTGGACTCAAGTAATGAGATCGCACCACAACAGAAGTACTGCAAGTTTAAGGATGTGCAAACCATGGAATACTTGCTACCTCGTGACTCACACTCCGTGTACTTTTGTGGTTGGAATTTTTCTCTCCAGTGATTTTAGAAAAACTCATCATAAGTTTTGATTGTTAAATTACTGGATCATGTAATTGTTCTTTTGTTCTTTAAATTTGTGTCCAAATATTTCAAGGCCATTACATCACAACATGATGTAGTCACAGTACTCCAGATACATAACCCAAAGATATTTAAACAATTTTGAAAAGCTTAATGCAGATGACTGTACTTATCAAATTCACCAAGTCCTCTTACTTATAAACAATGTATCTCAAAACCAGCTTGAGAGCTTTCAAGTTAAAGGAGAGTTTAATTATGTATAACTTTCCAACACAGTAAGCATGTGTTTTAGCAGATCTTAAATCTACTTGGAGTAAAAAGCTTGTAGTTCAGAAGCCTCACTCTGTATGGTGGTCTATCCCTCCTAGATCCCAGAACTGTACATCAAAGCTGTTCTGAGCTAGGAAAACTTTATGGATGCTAGTTTGCACACAAAACATCTTTTAATGGTGAGAAGATTTTTTCTTACATGAGATGTATAAGATATTAAGAACACATTAATGCTTGTTCTACACCTAGAAAATTATCTATTAATAGTCATATCAAGACTAAAGTCTTCTGAGACACATAAGATTAAACTGATAAAGGAGAGTATTTTTTTTTTTTTTCTGGCAGATGTGTGAAATGAGCGTTCTGTGAAGTGCTGATTCTACAAAACCAGGCCAACTGCTTAACTCAGTCTTGCAATGTCTCCTTCATCTGATCAGACCTGGGACATTCATGCAGGTGGGCACATCATAGGAACCTCAGAAGGTAACATTGTGGGAGGACATCCTCTTCAGGAGTATGCTGGGAAGGAGCAACAGGACTCTCAGCCAGTTGCTGTGCTAGGTTGGGAGCTGCTCTCAGCATCAACAAGTTCTAAGTTTCTATACTTTTGTAATTTCAGTCCTGTGATTTAATTAAGCCTTTTATTATAATTAATACTGCAAGCCTTATTTGTAAAGCTGTCTGCCAAGTGTTGTTCTAGACTCTGGCACGTAGTCTCTGCCCACAGTAAAAATGCCCAACTCTGCTAACAGCTCTGGTCCCATTATGTAAAGTCTGATAAAAGATTTCCATACTCATACTTTCTGGCATCTAAATCTAAAACTCATGTGAACTTTTACTTTTCTATTTTTTTAAGTCCAATCTGGAAACTCAGATTTTTGACAGTGTCAGGAACTTCATGCCTTGTAACATTCTCAGATGAGAGGAAATTTATTCTAGACCTTACCATCTTGGATGCCATTTTCCAGAATACAGAGCCAGAACTGCCTTCACATTCACTCCATTTTGGACAAGATTCATAGTTGATTCCTGAGAAGAAACATATTTATAGAAAAAGACTAGAGTGAATATTGTTAAAATGTTAATACAGAGTTGTTCCCTATCAAAATAAGCTGGCCTCATGAGGAAGTTCTAGGAGGAAAGAGAATTTGCATGTGTTCAAAGGTCTTCCTCTTTATTCACACGTCTCAGTGAGACAGCTGGCAGCCCCATATGCAAATAATTCTCAGAAAACCCAGTACAGAAAACACATATTTCTAAATATGCAGAACAGGTTGGTTTGTGACTAATGAATTTCTGACTGTATCAAATTTTGCCCAACTTTTCCAGTAATTCCAGCCCAGTTTAGAACTTGTTAACATTAGGCATCAACAGTCAGGAATAGTGTGGGCAGCATAACCTTGGGTCCCTCCATACTGCCCGCTCACTTTGCCTGGCCTATAACCAGGACTCTTTTGAATGGAATTCTTATTTTGCAGTTTGTCCCACTGAAGTTAAAGGAAGGTACCAAATGACACAGATAAAGAGTGCTAGAAGTGATCATTAGTCCCAGAAGAATTTAATGTCTTCTTTGTAGCCAAAAAGATATGTTTTTTAAATTAAATTATTTTCAGTCTTCTGTGACAGGAGAGCAGAAAAATGATTATGGTTTTAAAAGAAAAACATGTGAAAATGGACAGTATTTATGTCTATATGTGAAAGAAAATAATAATCTGAAATTCTATTATGCGTGTTTTGTTTTCCAAAAGTTAGGACTTGTTACCTGGAGCTGAGGGGTCTCCACACCATGAAAGCCCATCAAGCATATAACCCAGGAACGTGTCCTCCAAAGTAAGGAAATGGTGATTGGATTTTGAATAAAGATGAACGAGGTCATACGTCCTGCTCCAAAACAGTGACTGCGAAATAAGATACAATGTGCAATAAATAATATTTATACTTGAGTTGGTCAGGAAATTTTCCTGGAGAAAAACAGAAAGTTTTCTTAAGCATGACAGAGTTCTGGTTTCCTATCCAAATGCTGCACGTTCCCATAAGAAGATCAATTCTTAATCCCACAGCCCTTCCTCCCATTTCCAAATTTTTTGGGTGATTATTTTTCACAGAAATGGATGCATTCAGCCTGCAAAGCATTTTGAAAGAAAATTGTTTACTAGTTCACATAGCATATTTATACAGTTTGTAGAGCACTTTTTGACTACAGATGGGAGAGCAGCTTTTTAGAAGCTGCATTCCTCTGACAGAAGGACTGCATATTCCTTACCAAGATCTGCAAGCTCAGGGAACAGGGACATCTCTGCAGCATAACCAGGATGACCCTGGCAAAATAATCAGCCATGTCCATCTACTGACAGTTACTGTGGAAAAGATCCACTTCCCAGAGCACTGTACAGACACATTGCTCCCCAGCAATCCCCTTGTACAGCCCACCATGCATCCCGCTGTTACCTTGTTGCAGGGTACTGGATGACTTGCCAACTCCATTAAAGGCTGATAATCTTTTGTTGTAGCATTACAGGGATTCTTGTGAATGAATGCAGCTTTTAACGACTCCCATATTTTAAGGCAATCCTTATCTCTGCTGAAAGATTGAATCATCATTAATTTATATTTATTATTAAATATCTTTAATAATTATTAATATTTATGATTGTGAAAAAAATTTCCTTCTGTTAAATTCAGATATTACAGATAAATTTTTAAAGAGTTCTGACTGTGCTCAAGCATCAACATACATTGTGCATTAAAAAAGCAGAGTATCTCCAGCAAATCAAGTATAAAGTGAGGAACAAGCAGTTCTAAAACACCTCTCATCTGAGCCAAAACTATGCCCAGAGTCTACCTGCCCTTCCAGGTTGCCCAAGGAGGCTGTGGATGCCCCATCCCTGGAGGCATTCAAGGTCGGGCTGGATGTGGCTCTGGGCAGCCTGGTCTGGTGGTTGGCAACCCTGCACATAGCAGGGGGATTGAAACTCGATGATCACTGTGGTCCTTTTCAACCCAGGCCACTCTACAATTCTATGAGTCTACTGATTTTTTTAAAAAAACAAAAGCAGAGGTCTGGATATTTTGGACCTGGTGTTATTTGCAGTTAAGCACAAGCTTTCAGCTAAGCACTTTGTTGAAGCCCATAGAGGATTTGTACAAGTATAGGTGAGATCTGAATTGTGCACTCCAACTCCAGGGGATCTTTTTTCAGTCTCTGCATATTAGCAGTTCTGGCCCTTTTGCTCTCACTGGTGTGAGTCAGAGGAATCTCACTGCATTTATATGAGGGGAACCAGTGGATATCAAGACACACCTCAGTCTACATTCACTCTTAGCTTGTTGCTTCATCAGCCCAGGAAATAATGCATGTCTCTGCTCATGGAAACAGGGCTCCTCTTGTACCACACTAACAGGAAACTGTTGCATGATGCTGACAAGAAATGATCTCTGTGCACCAATTTAGTGCCATGCTCCATGACACTGCAGCACATAAGATGTGAGTCTGCTCAGGGCATCTGATTTCATATACATGAAGCAATAACAAAAATCTTACATTATAATTTCCCAATTACTGTCTGCCTACTCATTTCAGGCCCACTTTGAAAGCCTGCCCCTGCCACTGACAGACATCACGGACAGTGATTTTACAGCTTTCTCTTCCCTTTCTTTATGTAAATTCAAAAAGCTGTATTGCCCCACTGTCTGCATGCAGAAAGGAGCTGCTCTGGCTAACTCTGACTCATCCACTCTTTCTCCACTATTTGTAATCTCCTCCTGGGGTGTTCCCACTGCCTGAAGAACCAGTCTGAAGAATGGCCTTTGTCTTTGGTGAAGACAGCGATGCCTTCAGAGCACTGTAAAAACTGCAGGGATCAGTTAGTATGTGACACAGAGCTGCAGGCTTTGTTACCTGTGGGTACTCAAGTAACAGGCATGAGGTGGAATGTGATCAGCCTCAAAAAGAGTTATAAAGGGATTAAGTGAAATTGGTAGTAGTTTACTGAGGATTCCAGAACATTTTACAGCTCTGTGATATTCCCAGTGGGTGGCAACCCTGTCCATGGCAGGCGGTTGGAGCTGGATGATCTGTAAGGTCCCTTCCAAACTAAGCCATTCTCTGTTTTGGCGATTCTATGATTCCTGCTGCTTAATTTGATCCAGATTGCCATTTGAGCATCAGAAAGTTAATGTGAAACACATACAATGAGCTGTTTGTATTATAGAAGGCCATGTCATGACAGTGGGACCCAGAACCACTTCTCACCTCCCAGCCATTTCTTCACTGTGCTGGGATGTGCCTGGACATGAACACCCCTCCCTCATTCCTAAGCCTCATAGAGAAGAAACATCACAGGCAGAGAAGGTCTGATGTTGTTGAGATATGTCCAGAAGTGCTCCAGCACCTGGCAGCCCCACGGAGCATCAGGAGTGCCCCTATCAGACACGTTGCAGGGGCCCATGCATGTGTCATACCAGAAAGGATTAGGCAATCCATGGCAATTTGTCCTGGCCTTTCTTCCCTTCTGCCTTTCCTTATGCAGTGGCAAAACTAAGTTATCATCTTATTTGATACTGGTTATTTGATTCAAACTAATTAATATGGTTTACTCATATTTGGCAGCTTGATTACAACTTGTGTATCGTAACATACTTCTTGTCCTTCCCACAAGGCTACAGCCATTCTCCTTCCACAGTTGGCTGCCCCAAAGATTTAAGAACACCTCTGGTGTTACAGACAGCTGCTTCTCTGCTCCCAAGGTTTATCATCACAGTGTGCAGATTACTTTGCTGCGGTAGGGTCATGTGAGGGAGCATTCACACGTTTTACAAAGCACAGAAACTAGCATCTCTTGGGCCTCTACAGACCCAGGGAGCTGGTTGCTCCAGAGAGCAAGTCAAAGCAGAACTTAACTTGGCATATTATATTTTGTTCTCAAGGAGCTTGTCTTTGGATGCAAACCGTAAGCATCACAGAGAAATCTTCATCACTTTTAACTCTGGTACCTCACAGGGAAGTGTCTGGGAGGGCAGTGTTCAGCCACAGTCCTGACAGCACTGAGCAAAGCTATGTTTAATGTCACAGAGCAGGTAGGGCTTAGCCTTCAAAGAAGGGAAGCTCTTCTACAGCTGGTAATGAGTGTGGGATTTTTATTTCTACCACACAGAAGAATGATAAGGCATAAAGATGGACTTTTCTGAAAACTCAGCAATTCCAGCATTATTTAGAAGTCTAAACACAGATCTTCACAGTAAAAACAAACAAATCTACAAAAGCTAAAGAATATTTCACTACCCTCTCCTATCAACATGTCAATTTTTACATAATAAAAATAACTCATAGGTGTTCTCTGGGAGGCTATTTTTCTGGTAGGAAACACAGGTTTCACCTCACATCTTAAGAGCCAGAGAGAATTATTGTTTCGGCTGATACACAGCTGCAGTGAGAAAGCTTTAGGATTTGTGAATCCCAGCTCTGGGAGAGATGGAATTCTTTACAGCCTCGCTATTGATATATACACTAGAAATAAAAGAAAGAAAACATTTGCCTGCTGTGTAGTACTTAACACATTCAGCAAAGGTAAGGGCAGAGACATGCTGAAGCTCAGGTTGTCCTGAAGATATTATGGGAAGTCTGCTGGCACTTGGTATTGCTAACAATTCTAGAAAGAGCACCTTCCTATTGAAAGATGTACACATCTCTTGCCAAAAAAATCTGTGACATGAACAATTCTCTGATGCCTGCTCTGAGCACAAGGGAGAGCAGATCTCCTGGAGCCAGTCGGAAAAGAAGTGTTGGCTTTTTCACTGTGCTACAGAGTTTTACCCACTGCATGGCCTGGGCTGCTCGAGGTGAGCACTCACAGCCTCCGCTTTCCCTCTCAGAGCTCCCACAGGAACACAGCAATGCCTGTGGGAGTCTCAATCCACCAAACCTAAAAAAATCTGCCATGTCAAAGATCTTTCAACTGGGAAGTTCTCCATCACAGAATGGATTCATTTAACTTGTCTACAGAAGGAAGGCTGGGAGACAGATTGCCAGGAGACCACGGTGAATGTGCTTGGTTGCCACACGGCTGCAGGACTCTTATGTTCTTTTTCCCTGGTTTTGGTTGGTTTTGTGTGTTTTGGATTGTATATTAATTCTGCATCAAACAAACATCATATGCATTTATTTTTGCAATAATGAATTTCTTCCCTCAAGGCTAACTTTGTTTACACTGAAATATTTAAGGCCTTTTATTCTACTAAAGAATCTGAAATATTTAAGCCGAGTTCACTGACAGATAAAATAAACACACACACATTTTATGTGTTTGGGTATTTTTTCAAATGCGTATTTTCATGAGCATAGTTTGGGAAATGTTGGTAAATTTGAAATAACACTTAACAAGCTTAAAGGAAACACTGGAACCTGCTGTAAAATCAGGAACTGAAGCTACAGCCTGTTCTCTGGAATGCAGGGATTGCAGAACTGGGCCTTACGGCCTTTTGCAAACTGAGGCTCTGTATCCTGCACTGAGTACAGCAAGAAACAAGAACTGAGATACAAATACACATCATCAACACCCCACTTCCTTCTGAAATAAGGTTATGTATACAACAAAGCATATCCTGCATTTTTCCCTGCATTTGAGTGGAAGTTGCATTTTCCAATGAATTTGAGTGTTTCTATCCATTTACCTTTTTTATGAACATCATATAAATTTATGAAAAGGAATCTGGGGCCAAGAACATTTCCATTAGCAGCTATCCTAGAAGCCAAACTTTAGTGTGCATATTATAAAAATGGACAGCTTCTGCATCATTGTTTCTTGCATATCAGTACATTGATCTGGCTAACCTTGAAAGAGCATCCTCTCACTTAAAGGAATACAATGGCATTGAGCTACCTGGGAAATCACTATTAATTTTGTGTAGTATTATTTTATTCTTTAAAAAGAAAAAGAACTGGACATGACAGAGCACATTCATTCCCAGTTGAAATTGATTTATTTGGTATAATATCAGGGATGAGTTACATCCTTGGTGACTTCAGCTGCACCAAGAAGAACCTCTTGTTTTAAGTTCATCACTGGGCTGACAGTGGAAGCTAAAAACACCTTATAAAGAGCAATATTTCCTTAAGCTGTGACACCTTGAGATTTTTACTCAGAAATTTGAGAGATGTTTGAAGTATGGAATCCATTTTAAATTCTCAAGTGAAAATGATTCTCAGGCTTTGGTCAGGAGAGCTCAGTCGGTCCTGACCACATTCTTCAAACCCCTCTGCAGGCATGAGAAGCCCCCCTGGTGAAACGTGGCCTCCTGTGCTGGCTTCCCAGGATCCCAAGTTTCCTTTCTAACACAAAACAATGTCTTCAGGCCATAAAGAGATTTTAATTGTGGTTTCTTGCAGTCTTTGATGGTAAGGTCCTTTATAAAACTGGGCTTTGCAGGGATTAAACAGGGCAGGCAGATTGTGGGGTTGGTGTGGGAGGCTCTGGCCTCAGCTGGCAAGTTATGCTGGCTTTCATCAGGACTGGTGCTGCTTTGTGCAGGCACTCACCCCAGCACCTTTCTCATTTGCTACCATCAGCCTAAATAATAATG